TTTAAATCTTGTGAATAGGGTAAAAAGATTAATGCTTTAGTTCATTTAAGCAAATGTGATTTGAACAAAACATGTCTGTGTTCGCTGTCTTTCAAAAGAGTAGTAGAGTAGTCTGTTTCTTTTGTTTTTGTATATCCACTGAATAGATGGAAAGGAAAAAGGGGCGATCAATTTAAGTTGAAAAAGAGCGTGAATGAGAAATAAAAGATAAGAGGAAAATGTACTTATCAGGTTGAATTGTTTTGGAGTCAGTTGTAAATTTGTTGTTGTTGTTGTTTTCCATTCCTACCCCACTTTCTGCTCTTAGTGTCTGGTTGAGTCAGTGATGGACCTGACTGTCAGTCTTCTGTCCTCTATGATCTCTGCACCCTTCTGACTGGTGATTGACTTGAAACTCTCTATTTATTGTTGACTTTTTTTCACACTGGATTGTTATCTTTTTTTAGTTTAACAAATCACCTCCTTTCATTGGTCAGAAAATTAATTTCACACCTTATTACGAAATCTGTTTTTAGTCGTTTTGATCCGATTTTGTGGGTGTGCAAATCTACTTTGTGTTTTTCAGTTATTTGTTGGAATGATATAGGATTTGTATCCTATAAACACCAACTGATTTTATTGACTGAGCATTTTCTTTTCATTCGTCAACAAATGGGAGAGGATACACAATATTAGCATATCCAAAATACTTTTATGGCGACTCCTGTGACTGACTTGTTTCTAATTTGAATATTCTGTCTTCAGCATACCATAAAAAAATACAAATTTTTTTTTTTTTTCTTTTTTTTTTTTTTTTTTACAGCAAGTAACTTTCTTTTTTGCCATATTTTCTATTGTAGGATACACGCGACATGCTGTCGCTTGGTTTGACAAAGTAATTCACCATTTTCTTTGTTATAGTAAATGAACCTTTTTGTAATCGTTCTGTCCACTTGTCGTCAAGAGGTATCAGCAATTGACTACTGATTTTAGCCTTTTCATTATTTTTATACTAATTACACTATGATGAACAACCCTCAAATTGCATAATGAAACCTCACACAACTAAATGAATTATTATAAATATTCCAAATGAAAAGATATTACAAGCTGAAATATTTAACACTGTTATTTGGACAGTTGTCTTTGTCTTTTTTGTTAGCATGTTTTGGCTATTGTGCCCTCTGGCCTTTCTCAGGTGTATAGCAATCTGGGTAACCAAAAGGAAATTCTGAACCCTTTATTTAATCTAAAGAGGTAGACTTCTCTCATTCCACTGCTCTGCTCATGTCTAGGGATATCGGTTTATTTTTATTTAGTGCTGCTCAGTTATTGCTTGCCTGTTTCCACTGTGTGTAAGTACACACTGCCTGAACCAGAGATCAAACTCCCAATCACTGTCACCAAATTCACAAGCCAGCGCTACTCCCTGTAAATTAAATAAAGGGCCCAGTTAAAATCGTCTGTAGTTTACCCAGATTGATATACACCTGAGGAGGGCACAATGGCCAAAATGTTGTGATAACAACAACAAAGATTAGGACAATTGTCCGAACATAAATAATGTAAATAACAACTTCTCATTCCAGAAATTCAGACGCAAAGCTGAAATATGCATAATATATTTATCGTATTAACATAGGCATATTCTGAAAATTTTACCTATGTTGGTTGGTTAATAGAAATTTTACTGTGAAAACATTCACTTGCATCATAAACTTTATCATTGTTTATTACACACATCTATCCACAAAGCAGCAAAAGTAATGCTTCTATTATGTTTGAATATGTTAGAGGGGGATAGCTAATGGTATGGCACAAGTTGTTTTTTTTTTTTTGTTTTTTTTTCAGATAGCAGCAATCTGGTAAAATGGTTTCTGACATGACTTCATACAAAGCTGAGATCATTGAATTTCTCCATATAGAAAAAAATTGCATGCCTTCATATTCACTTGTTACTAATCATTTACAGGGACCAAACATTGAATCTGAGAACAGTTACACATTGCATAACATAAAGAGGATTGGTGATGCTAATGTCAAATCAACCTTATTCCTGCTGTATTTCATTGGTAAAGAATAAGTTCTACTCAGATAACTTCTCCAGAATTGTTACTTTGTGGAACATATTCCCAAGAGGATGTTTCTCCAACCACTACTATCTTCAAGTCTTGGGTCAACCCTTAACTATCCTACATATCCTCATAATATTCACCCCTACCTCCTTCCCCATTCCTTATGCCCTAACAATAGTATCATTTAGTAACCCTCTACCTTGAGTGGCCCTTGGGTTCTGTATTGGGTGAACTATAGTTAAAAAAAACATTGAATAGTACTGGCTGAGCAGTCAATGAATGCCAGATTTTTTCTTGTAATGGTAATATTAGCTGGTTCTTTATAAGGGTTTCCCTATAAGGAAACATCTAATGTTACCATTACAAATTCAGCATTCATTGACCAAGTACCTTTTACTACTGTTTCAGAAAAATAGGTTTCTCAAGTCCAGTAGCTGTTATTGCTCTTTCCAGTATTGATGGAATTTCCTTCCTAACCTTTTATTTGAAGTAGTGTGAAATGTCAACATCTAGATTATGCCATTATTTTCTCTTAGAGTTACATGTTATATCCATTTTAACTGATCTGGTTTCTGTTATTTGGTGCAGTAAAGAAACCAATAATATTACTATTATCATTTAAGGGATCTCCTCCTCCAATATCACTTAGTAACCCACTATTTGACACTTGTATATAATAACTGGTCCTTATGGTATTTAGTCCTGGGTACGACTAGACTACATCTGGCAACAAGGGCTCTGATCAGGAGACTGGAGGTTTTGATGAACATGGAACCACCTCTTAATTGCTGTTGTTCCCAGGTCCACCGTGACCTGGGGTGGTAGCATCTGTTTGAGTCCCAGCTATGGGCAAATATTGAACCCCCAAACAAAACACTATGAACAACAATACCTATTTATAGTAAAAAATGATCAACAATACATTTTATCTGTAGTTGAAGGCATACAATTGTGCTCAAAATATATTTACTTGAAGCCATAAAATTGTGTTCAAAATTTCCTTATGTTCATTTCAGCATTAAATAATACATAGAGGTCAATAAGCTGCTAAACAAAATCAACCAAACATATGGTATTTATTTTGCATAGATTTTCTACTGCACTGTTTGAGTTCAAAATTCAACAAGTGATACTTTACTTTTGGATTTTGATTTTCATTGGTCATCATCATTTGCTTCAATTTTTAACACTTTGGAAATTTGAATCACAAAATATCAAAAGCTGTAATAAAAATATTAAAATTTTGTGGAAACTATATAAGTAAAGTATTACTTTAAGGTAAGAATATAAAGGATGTATGAGCTGCATAATAGATATTGGTGTGGAGAATGGAATCTGAGAGCTGAGTTAAAATTTCAGGTTAGTCTGTTGCATTCACTTTTGCACAAATGACATTTGGAAAGGCATGAATCCATCCCTTCTTCTCATAAGCTATAGATTAATTAGCTGAGTAGATAGGTCTCTTTATTGCTTTAAGTAGCAACCAGTCTAAGAAAAAAAAACATGAATCCCAAACTGTAGAGAAGGCAACAGGAAACTACTCCACTATCTTTCCCAAGAATGCATAGCAACTCACATATAATGAAGGAAAAATGAAGAGTCATGATTGCCTACACCCTGGAGAATGGAATAAAACAGTTTGGAATCCAATATCTGTCTATATTCCTGAGATTAGGTATTGTAATTATTTACATTAGTTATATTGTTTGGACTGTTGTCTTTATCTTTGTTACCATATTCACAATGTTTTGGCCATTGTATATTGACCATATATGAAGGGAAAAGGGAGATCACTGCCCCCTGTGGGATGAGGCTGAAATAATAGAGAATATCACTGGAAAATATGAAAACTTAAGGACTCAACATATATTCTAGGCCACAAAAATCTCCTAAGCTGGCCAAGCATAGACATGAATACAATATGGGAACCAGTAATACAGATTACTAGAGAAAAACAATAACAAATTGTAATATGAGCTCTGGTAAAAAATGTTTACTGAAACTTATAAGTCCCAAAAGGTGGACAAAAACTTGGAGAGTTAAAGGGAAATACTGAGATATCTGGTAGAACTAGAACAATCTACCCTGAACGAAGTAAAGGGCTTGGTTTAAAATTCCAATCACCTGAAGAAGGCCAGAGCATACAACAGCTGAAACATTGTGAATATGGCAACAAAGATGAGGATAACAGTTCAAACAATGTAAATAATTTGGAATTTCTGTAAAAGGGGTCATATTTGCTCTGAAAACTTTCAACACATCCTATACATAATTGGAGTTTGTAAGTGTAACTTTTCTGTATCACTAGAATGTTAATTTTGAAATAGTTGTTTCTTTAAAAGGAAACATTTAGCATTCATTAACCAAGTAATGTTATTTTCAGATGAAATTTTAAAAATCTTTTTCTTAAAACAGTTTTTCAGGAAATTGAAATTTTCAAGTCCACTGTTATTGCTCTTTCTAGTATTTATAGGAGTTTTCTTCCAAACCTTTTGTTTTTACTAGTGTTGAAAGTCAACATCTTGATTATATCATTGTTTTTCCCTTCTTTTTATATTTTTTCCCCCTTTTTCCCTTCTTGTTATATATACTATCCATTTTTCTTTTTGCTGTTGGAAGTTTTCAATTGATGTGGATTTTTTTATTTGCTAAAACTTTGGCTTTTTTGATTAGTTGATTCATTTTCTGTGGCTTATCAACCCTTTACAGGTTATTTAAAGCCAGAAAATATTTTTAGATTGTAAAAAATATTTTTTGGAGATAATAATGATTTATTGATACAAATCTTACTAATTAACCCACAACTGAAGGTAGAAGCAATGGATTCATACACTTCCCAAGGGAATTTGTGCATAAGTGAATATACTGAATCCAACTGGTATTAGAACTTGGCTTTTTGAGTCACAATTTTTAGTCATTATCCATTACACCACCCACACATCAAAGCTTACAGCACATGTTATTCCCAAGCTGTCACCCATCTAGGTACTGACCAGGCTCAATATTGCTTAATTTTGATGATCATACAGGAACTGATGTTTCAGCATGATATTGCCATAAACTAAAACTCTTTGGGATTTTGTAATACCATTGTATAGGATCTGATGAAGGAGTGTCTTCTTTAAGACCTAAAGGATATATTTGCTTGAAGTAATTTTTAATCATTGATTTGAGAAAATGGTTGTAAATCTCCATGTCAGGAACTCTTCTGGTGATGTCTTCTTCATGTGCCATGTCCTCTCAGGACGTAGTTGATCATGGCTTTCCACAACTTCCTGTCCCTTGTAGCACTTAATAAACTTTACTCAAGCTCACTAAGTATATTATATGTTGTTTTCCTCTGTCCGTCTTGCCCTCTCTGTCCCATGAGTATCACATTTTCCAAGACCTCCTTCGTTATTATATGCCCCAGAAACCTCAACTGTCTCTTCCTGATCTCAAGTATTAGTTTGCATTTTGTTTCCACTTTTTTCCAGAACTTTGTCACTTTTCAAATATTTGGTTCACTGCTCAGCATTCACTGCCATACTGGAGAACAGATATCACATAGCAGTTTAGTAATCTTTTCCTTGTTTCTGATGAAATTTTCCTATTTCTCTGGTTAACTTTTGGAATGCTTCTTTAGTATGATGATAAATATTCGCACTTACCAGATTCAAAGCATCCAAGATGTTTTGCTTGTCAGGCTGCTGTTTTATGATGAATATGTGCATAAAACCAAGCTAGACAGTTCGTCATTTCATCAGCTACATCCTTGATCCAAGAAAAGTACATTCTCCGACATTTGTTTATTTTATGCTGCTTGGCATGATTTGTCTAGTGGCGGTCTGCATGCTGATTGGTCGAGCTGGGGACTCTGAGAATGAGGCCAACAGCGATGATTGGTGCATTGGCCAAGTTTTTGGTCAATAAAAACGGTCTGGGACATTGGCTGGCAGTGCAGCTGGGACTGTGGTGACGTGCACTGTTATAGAGTTTCGTATTAAGTTACAACTCTGTTTATTTTTGTCTGGAAGCTGGACGCTAGCTTCGAACCTACCGCTAGAGTGAGAGGTGTAATTACCAGTGTCTACCGAAACATGGGAGGAACACACTGAACGTCAACATTTAGCTATCCCAATATGCCTTTGGATATCAGCGTTGTTAAAACTCTTCCAGATATTTCAATTTTTGGATTTGTTTGATTTTGGTATCTCCAACTTGCAATTCACTCTTTGGGCTCATCCTTTTGCTAATAACCATGCATTCTGTCTTCTTCCAGTTGATAGCATTTATGGTCTGATGAGGTAGATATCATAATACTTCAGTAACAAAGAAGAATGTTATTTTGTTTTTAATTTAATATACAAGGAAACATTGCAAAATTAAATTTTTTAATACAAGTTCAATGTATATTTACACTATTTCCTTGTGGACTGTTGTCCACATTTTTGTTGCTATCACAACATTTCAACCATTGTGCACTCCAGCCTTCATCAGGTGCATGTTGGTCTGCATAATCTACAGGACGATAGCCTAGTGGATTAAAGTGTATAATTCATCAAATTTGTTGACATAATAATTGTGTTCAATTACTAGTCTGGGCAATGTGTACTTTAACTCCATGGAAACAGGGCAAGCAATAACTGAGCAGTACTTAAAAATGAGACAAGATATCCCTAGATATGGGCAATGGAATAAGAATAGTCTAACCCTGTAGATTAAATAAAGGGTTCAGTTCAGAATTTCCTTTTGGTTACACAGAACGGATACATCTGATGAAGCCCAGAGAGCCCAATGGTTGAACGGTTGTGATAACTACAAAGATGAGGACAATAGACTACATATAAATGATAACTCCTCATACCAGAAGTTCAATGTAATTATAAAATTACTTAAATATATTGTATTTGTATTGTGCAAATAAACTAGCATTTAATAAATGATGTTTTCAAGAAATTGAAAACAAAAAAGATACTTATACCTAACAACAGAAAAACAGTTGAAATTTCATAATGAATGAAGAGAGCTTACAAAATTTGATACACACAGGACATATTGAAGGTAATTGGGACAGAGGAAAACAATGCATAACCTACCTAATGAGCAGGTGTAAATGGATGGCAGAATTAAGATATACAAAGGACCGGAAATTGTGGAGAGCCATGATTGCCAATGTCCTGAAGGGACACAGAACATAGAGAAGTAGTAGTCATATACATAACACTATAAATTTGACATTAATGCAATAGTGTATAGATATCGTCTTCCCACATATTTCCAAATGACCTTTACTGCAATATCTACATTACATTGATGGTCTACATCTCTCAAAGGCAGTGATTGTATTTGTTTTATTTGCAAGACTCTCAGCCAGTTTTTTTCTGTCATTTTCTCTTTCATTTGTTCATCACAATTTCCTTCTTGATCCTTCTCTTTTACATTACCACCCACACTGTATTTGGCGTCATGTATGTCTACCAGAAATTAATTGCTTTGCATCAAACATTGCAGTATTATTACGACCGGACGAGTGTCGGGAAATAGTTCTTTTGCTGAAAATGGAGAATTGGAGAATGAAAAGATCCAAAGACGAAGAAAACGTTTTTATGCATAAGCAGTAAGATCAATGCTGTTTGCTGATGTCCTGCATTGGATTGTCTTTTTGAATAAATGATGAGCTATCTCAATTGTCAGTAGTAGAAAAAAATTAACCAATGAAAGATTCACCTGTCCAGGAATACAGTAAGAAAATTCAGCATTAAAAGCCACAAAGACAACTCTTCACTGTTGAAAGTTTATATATATATATATATATATATATATATATATATATATATAATCCATCACCAGTAGCACAACTCAGTTTCCTGCACAATGCAATCTTCAGGTGTGGAGTATAGACTGACTGTTACTTAATTTAAATTTTAATCAAAATATCTGGTTGGCACTGTCCATACATTATATGAGGATTACAGTTTTTTATTTTAAAAATATATTTTGCATTTAAAATAGACATGATTTTTATTTTATGTACATATAAAATGAATAAATAAAAAAAGAAAGTTAATTTTCGTTTAAAAACACCAGCACTCTATGTGCAATATATTACACACACACACACACATATATATATATATAAATTAATGGCAGAGTGTAAAAAAAAAATGTCATGTGACTCATTTAGGACATCATCATATTAAAGCAATGTTTATGTTGATGTAACTGCATATGTGCACGAAAGAGGAAATACTGAAACTTTAAACTTTTAAATTAAAATTTTTGTGTTTGAATATATAGTTTAGCAAATTTCCTTCAGTTTATTTTTCTTTAAGTTTTTTTCTTATTTTTCTTATATATATAAGAAGACTATGATGAAATGCATTAGTAAAGAATAGTTGCAATATTGTAAGACTTGTTTGTGAAGTTTTACAGCCAATGAATTATAATTTGTAATAAAACAATTAAATATTAGGTGTATGTATGTATGTATATATATATATATATATATATATATATATATATATATTAATATAGAGAAATTGTCATTTAACTGATCAGTGTCACCCCAGGCATGATAAGGGTGACACTGATCAATTAAATGACAATTTCTCTATATTAATTTATTAATGCTCTTTCTCTGATATCAAGCACTTTACCATAGAGTCTTCTTGCCTTTAAATGCTTTTCTACCAGTAAATCACTTTTGGCTTCAGTCTTACAACTAATCACTATATATATATATATATATATATATATATATATATATGCAGCATACCTCCATTCTAGCATGTTTGATCAAACAATTTAGACGTAGTATGTCTATTTATTTTAGTTTTAATCATTTCAAGTCCACAAACCAATTTCTTGGTGGCTGTAGAAAATTGATCAAGAAATATTCAAAAATTGTCTTTCAAATAATTTCTATCTTCCCAAGTACTTTCAATCTCATCTGAGACCATCTTCAGGGGTTGCACATCCATGGATGCCTTATGTGCCAACACCATAAATTCAGAATATTCCCCCACCTCCATGCAAGGAAGGCAACCCATGTGATCCTTTCAAAAGAATTTTGAATTTACAGTCACAATATCTTATGCAATTATGTATGTGGCTGTAGGTTTGTGATTCTCCCACAAAATTCTTTGTATGACAGTATATTTGGGAACCATTTTCATTGTTCAGATGTGAACAGTTATTTGTGTCATGTTCATTTCCATGGCTCTCTTGGGACCAGTATAAAGTTAGTCCTCAACCTCTTACTGAAAGTCAAATTAACTGTTTTCAGCTTATGAAGTCGCTACACTACACCCATCCAGTGTTGCACATAGAGCTTTTCCTGGGGTATTATGGTTTCCTGGATATTAAGTGGGCATGAATCTTCAAGATTGTGGCAAACTAGAAGATGCTCTATTGTTTGTAATTGCCTGCATTGGCAGTTGGGATCATCATTGGTAGCATATCCCCATATTTGAAGGTTGACTCTACAGCAACCAACTGCTGTTTGGAGGTGATTCAAGCAGGACCAGAAGGGCCAGGAATCACTGGAACCAGAGGGAGGGATTCTGTAGGGCTGAGAGAGAGCTTATGTTCCATGTTGTTAAGGTGGTTGTACCACAGACACTGACTAGGAGCTCTGTTGTTCAGTGGTTTGGCTGGGTGTAAAAAGCTGTGTCTTAACTTGAGCCACTTTGGTTCACAGCTGTGGAGTGAATAACAAGGGTCAGTTTCCTGCTTCAACTTCTCTAGTTGGGAGTAGACTGTCCTGATGTAAGGGAGAGCAATGCCACTAATAGAGGTCATCTTCTTTGATTGGTTTGAGAAAATTGGTGATTGATCTGCAAGAGACGTTTAAGTCAGGGTCAATTTTCTTTGCATGTGATGATCTGCTCCACACTGGTGTGGCATATTCTGCTATGGAGTAGCAAAGGGCTAGGACTGTGTTGCAGATTGTACTGGCATAAGCATCCTATTTGGTGTTAGCCAGCTTTATGCTGTTGTTTCTTGATCTGACCTTGGCTTCAGTCTTTGTAACATGGTCTTTGTATGTAAGGGACCAGTCCAAAGTGACCCCAAGG